CCGCGGGAGACACGCCCCGCCAGGCCAGGTCCAGTGACGGGCAGGGCAGCAGGTGGATGCACCGGTGGGGAAGCCTCGCTGCTTCATTTGTACTCGGTTCTCCCGATCGCTCCTCCCCAAAACGCGGCCTGGGGAGCTGTCGGTGTCCCCATTTCTGACGGGAAAGTTTGCCCCAGAGGGACTGGACGACTTGCCGAGGCCGCGCAGCTCATTCGTGGTGGAAGCAAGTCACATCTGACCCCGGATCGGTCAACTCCAGCGCTTGCTCTCACTCAAGCTACCTTTCTCATACGGAAAAAAAAAAAAAAGACAGTGAGAGAGATGCGTGGTGTTTGTGTGTTTTCTGGTTCCAATTTATGCATTTCTTTCCAAAGCTCAGGAACTTTCAAAGCCCTGCAAGCATTATGGTAATTTTTGGGTGACGACAGCTACATTAGCATCTCAGACAGTTAGCAGCTTTTCTGCCGGCAGGCTCGTTTATCTTCTCGGTTTTTATTATAAAAGGTATTTACATGTTATACATATTTACAGTTCTTTCCCATCACCAAAACCAACATTTTCACATGCATTGCTCATGAATTTCTTATGAACTAAAGACACTGAAATATTCACTGTTCCCCCGCTCACTTGTTTTAGTCTTTTTCTGTTTTGTAATCTACCCTCTGATTAGTTCTTCCCCTGCTCATTTGCATATGCATAAGCCTCATGATTTTTGCTGTCCTAGAGTCTTTATCACTCCACTTGAGCAGGTGCGCCTGCCCTCTTCCTTTAACTAAGCTAACACTCTAGGAATTTGTTCTCGGCTTCATTCCTTTCAAGGAATGCTTATTTCAGGAACATCGTGTGCTGGGTGAGGGGCAGGGACCATGAACATAGGCTTGCTGTGTGCTCTCCAGGCAGGGAGCTGCCACTCTGGCAGGCGGGCACTTGTCTACGCAATGGCCACATGGGGACAGAAGGGCTGGGCAGAGGTTGGGCAGCCACAGCAGGGGCTGCCACTTCGTAGAGTTGGATAAGGCTCCTTACTGAATCCCACCGTTAAATCAGTCCTGGAACTGGGACAACTCAGAGCACCCTCACTGTCCTGTTCCTTATCTGAAAAAAATAGGAGAGGGTGGAGTGTGAGGGGCTGAGGTTTGTCCCTCTGTCAACTGACATGTTGAAGTCCTAACCCCCAGTACCCCAGAATGTAACTATTTGGTGACAGGGTCTTAAAAGAGGTAATTAGGTTAGAACGAGGTCACTAGGGTGGGCCTCAATCCAATATGACTGGTGTCCTCGTAAGAATAGGAGATGTGGACACAGACATGCCCAGAGGAAAGACCATGTGAGCACACAGCAAGACGACATCCATCCGCAAGCCAGGGAGAGAGGCCTCAGAAGAAACTAACCCCGCTGACACTTTGATCTTGGACTTCCAGCTTTCAGAACTATAGCCAGAAAAGAGATGTCCATTAAGCGCCCCCACCTCACCCTCTGTAGTACTTGATATGACAGCCCGAGCAAAATAAAATGGAGTGCTTGTATTTGCTCTGCCAAACAACGAGTGGTGTGGGTGGCAAGGAAAGAGCGGTGTGAAAATGCTTTATAAATTACCATGTGCCATATGACCACCACTGTGCGTGGAGTTTCACCATTTTCCTGTTCTTTGGGACCTTTGGGGTCACTGTGTGGACATTTGTTGTATTTGCCTGTGCAGAGTTCACCCCCCTTCTTTGAGGGTCAGCCCCCCAATTACTGTGAAGGAGGCCCCATTTCCACTGTCAGAGCACTGGGAGGGCTGACCATGCTCCCTCCTTTGCAGAGATAGGCAAGGGACTCTGGCCTGCCAGGGGCATAGCCCATCTTCCTGACCTGGTCTGGGAAGGTATGTGTCAGATTCAGTCCTAGGACCTGTGTTAGACTGAGGGTTATCAGATAAAATACAGGATGCTTAGTTACATTTGAATTCCAGATTAGCTAGGGATAGTTTCTTAGCATAAAGATGTCCCACATAATTGCTGAATCTGGCAGTTGGACTAGCTGGACTATTAAAGAGAAGCTTGCTTTTTGGTGAGTGTGGTGAGCTGGTCGCATGTAAGAACTCATGGACAGGAAGCAGAACTCAGAGATAAAGAAGGCTGATGACATCGCTTGAGGCTCTGGATCCAGCCACACCTGAAGCTGGGAACTACTTCTCCACCTTTCAGTTTTGTGAGCCAGCAAAGTCTCTTCTTTATACATAAGCCTGTGTGAGCTGGGTTTTTGTCACTTGTGACACAGAATGATGCCTGGTATAATCCTGATTCAATAATTAAGCCAATGCTTGAGATCTCGCACCCCTCCCCCATGCCTGCTGTAGGCTTGTCCAGATTGTGCAAAGACAGGGAAGAGAAGTCTTTGAAACATAATGAGGAATAAGTTTAAATGAATTCAGTATCCCAGGGAGCTCTGCTTGAGGAGACATTGCATTATGGACATTTGCCGCAATGGTACGGTGCTGTAGAGATGCTGAGGTGTGGAGGGGAGTAGGGGCCTGCCAACGCTGCCTTCCCTCGGCACAGAGGGCGGCACAGGCCTCTTTATCCTGCTGGGCTACCCCCTGGCGCCCAGGTCGGTGACAGCGTTGCGAAAGCAGTCAGAGCCACTGGTGCCAGGCCACGGGGACTCGCTTCTCCACCAGCATCCAGCGGTGCCTGGGCAGCGTGTGGGCATCTGTCCTCCAAGAACTGGGAGGTAGCGGTGCTTGCTTGTTCTCTGAGAGAGGGATTGCCAGTCCAATGCTAGGAAATGGAGCAGAGACCGGCACGCTCACAGAAAGACACAGATGGCCTCCCAGGGCCACCAGCTAGAGAGCGCGCTGAGGAATGCGTGAACATATCTAAAAGAAGAGCATCAGCAGAGGGGGACTGATGGGCTATGAAAGCCCAGACAGAGTCATGTCCATCCGGGAGGCAGGGCAGGCCCAGGCCGTCCCAGCACCGGCTGGAGAGGGGCTCCACTCCGTGGACATGGCCCTCCATCGGTCAAGGCCATCCTCACGGGCTCACGTGACAGAGCACTGCTACGCTCAGTCCCTCTCCTTGCTGTGATCCTAGAGCTCCAATTCCAGAGGCTGGCTTCACACCAGCTTGCCTGCAGAGGGCAGAATGCCAGCGCTGACCTGCTGGCACAACAGTCTAGCCCAGGAGCCAGGTGTATTTCTAAGAACATACTAGTAGAACGCTGTCCTCTCTGACAGACTCGATAACCTTGTAGCACTCTCCATTATCCATACATTTCCAAGTATGCCAGGCATGGTCAGCTACTCAGGGGGGCAGGAAGAATGGGTAAAGTCAGAGGCAGGGTCACCATTGGTGAGTGGACCCACTCCCTGTAGGGTGTCCCGAGTGTGGGTGTTGGTGATGCCCACTGGGTGACATGTTTGGGGACAGGGTGACAGGGAGCAAGAATGCTGCCCTGCCAGATACTGTCTCATCCACCTCTCTCTGTCCATCAAACCGGATCAGCAAAGGCTCCCCCATCTCTCCAGCCTGCTGACTGTGTCAGGGAGGCTCTGGGGGAGGGGGCGGGGAATGGGACAGCAGAGATTCCGCTCTGGGCTCCACAGGCTGCTCCTGAAGTCTCTCAACTCAGACATCATCTCACTCACCACAGCGAGGATTGATGTGCGTCTGCAAAACCCATCTGGTCTCCATGAAGGACTCGGGTCTCTACCGGTAGTATAACATAGACCCCATTATAACAGCCTTAAAGCTTCCTCAGGGATTGACAGTGAAAGCTACCTGGCTCAAACGATGTTCCTCGATACCCGTGATGCCCCCAGAAGTAAAATCCGTGCGTGCAGCACCCTCCGCATATATTTCTGTTCATCACCATTGCTCCTCATCAGTGAGAAACACTCACTGAGCCGTGTATTTCACCCGCTCCCTCAACATGGCCGCAGGCCTTCCTGTGTGTCAGGCACGGTGCTGCTGACTGAGGACGTGACTGCGAACAGAAGAGACCATCCTCGTCCTGTGGAGGAGCTTACACTGTGGTGGCCCAGCGGTCTGTGCTGTGGGGAGAGAGCACGGCTGTGGGGGTGTGTGCAATGCGGGGAACCGGACCTCCTCCCTGGGTTTTGAGAAACTCCCTGGAGAGGCGGCTTTCAGGTATGTATGTCCTGAAAGATAACG